AGGGTAAAAGTAGAGCCAAGGGGCTGAGTGGGACCTCTCTTAGTGCCAGTAGGTCATTACGTTAATTCAAGCCATAGTATGCAACTTCACCTCAGGTTTTCTCTCTGAATAATAAAGGGAAACCACTTACAATTGCATAATTACCATTTTTCCTTTTGAGTCAGTTCCATAGGCGGTGATCTGTTTCTCTCTGCTGTTGATCAGTGGTCAGCAGATGACTTCAGCTGGCCCATGTGTTATTGCGGTAGTTGGGACGTGTTGAACGCGGCTCTGCACCGGTGCCGCCTTATGTGTGAACAAGAAGTGATATCCCTGCCATACAGAAGCTCCTCATAAAACACCTGCATTTTAAATTGTATTGCTTGAGGATAATTGTTCCCTTTACAGAGGAAGTAAGATAAGATGAAGGTCTGAATTAACTGTAAATTAGAGAAAATAAACCAATCAGATATATGTTTTCCTCTATCTCTTTATTTCCCCTCTTTCTAACTCAACAAGTTATGAGTGGTTTGTCCCTGTCTGACCATTTATATTCAGTACAGTTTCTAGAAAATAAGCTTGTTTTATTCTGTAAGAATATTCTGACGTATATTCTCTTAATATTCTGTAAGGCGCAGTTACTTTAAAAGTTCAGATTGTCTGCACACCCAGAAATTTGAAGAATCCAGCTGAGCTTATGACTGAAAGAGCACAAGTGTCTGAGTGCCTTGTGTTTCCCCTGAAATTTCCCTTCCTTCTCCAACTTCCAGTATTTTCCTGTTGCTATTTAAGAGTTGTACTCAGTCTTATGTTTAAGTCACAACTTTAGCAAGATTTTCATTAAAGTTGGAGTATAAAACTGGTTTGTTAGTGAAGTGATGCTGGAAGAGCTAATTACAGTGTGGATACCCTTTGCATAGGTTTACTTCTTTGTGGCTTTTTATAGACCATAATACCTAGTAGAGCACTGTAGACCGTTTAATGGTTAAGAAATGAGGGATTAATCTTCTGCTGATTAATCTTCTGCTAATTAATCTAGGATTTGCCCACGGTTTTTTAATCTTTAGAAGCCTTGTTTTGCTGAGTAGTTACTGCAGAATTTTTTCTTTTATGGAAGAAATTAATTCAGTTGCAGCCCTATTTCCAAAGCAAACACTGACCAGTAAAGTTTTGAAAGCGTGTGGTGCGCTGTGGTTTGTCTGATGAACGCGAATGCTTCTCTTGGAGAAGTATTTGAGGTACCCAGTGAAAAGGGGCACGGTGTAACTGGGAAAGACCTCAGCCTGCTTCCAAGCTTTCTTTGTTTTCTGAGAATCTGAGTGCTCTGGAGGTGACTAGGTGAGCTTGGTGTACAGATGTTTCCCCTTAAATTCTGTCATAGCAGATTTGATTTAATGTGGAGTTTTTTTTTTCTTTTCTTTTTTTCTTCTGCGTATAATTATAGCTTCAAGGGATTCCTTGCTTCCTCTCTTTAATATTAAAGATAGCCTGGACTTAATTTCTGTTTTCTAGAGGGATGGGGTGGTTGGTGTGAGTTTTAATTTTGCTAACAACTCTTGCGGATCTTTTAAAAAAAGAAAGAGCGGGGGGAAAGGGGAGGTGCATGGTTTTATTTTGAATGGTCAAATTCTCTGGGGGATGAAAGTTGCAGTTCTGATTTCCAGCTGTGAGTTCAGGATTCCAGTTCTTATCTAGAAGAGCGAAGGCAGATCTTGGTCTCTTGTGTTCTTTTGAAGGAGATTTTTCTTTTTGATTCTTTGAAGGAGGAGTAGGATTTGAGGTTCTTAATGCAATACATATATTGTAATTAAATTCTAATTTAAACCTTGACTTTCAACTAATTTGACTGCTGTAACTCATTTTTACTAGCATTTAGGACTGTGTAATGCCTGTTTTGGCAAAAGATTGCTGTGCTTCGAGAACTAGGTCTGTGTTGTTGCTATCTGCCCTCCCTTTCATTGGTGTAGTTGGAACTCGGGCAGTTGGTATGTTTGCATGGTTTTCTGTAGCTCATCGGTCTGGCACAGCTGAACACGCAACGCTCATCTGTGTTGCGCGGCAACTTCTGTTCTTTTTGTCTTGATAGTTAGATAACTGTAAATTTTGTTTTAAATAACACTTTTATTATATTTACCCTCATCCTTCAATGTGTAACCGACTTGTGCATCAAATGCGGCCGTTCCTTCAATGGTAATTTTCTGTCTTTATACTGCTAGTTTTATGCTGTTCTGTGGTTAACATCTTCATTTACCATTTTATTTATGTACGTTTAGTTTATATATAACATATATATGTTTAGCTATTGCTACACAAAAGCAAATGATTTTTCATGGTTTGTTTGGTTTTTTTGGTCTGCAGAGTTTTAAAGAACACTTAAATCTTGAGTAGAATTTCAATTTCTTTAATAAAAAGCAATGATGCCACATGCTTAAAATAGTAAAGAAAATAGTGATTTAAGTTCTGAACTTGTTTAAAACCAACCAAACAAAAAGCCCTGTGTTGTTGGTATTCATTGATGTTAAATGCAACAATGTGCATATTTGGGAGGAACATATACCACCTTAGCTTATTTTCTTTTTCTTTCTGGTTCTGTTGACATACAGAGAATAGTCTGTTTGCAAACAGCCAATGCTTAGGCGCCCCAGACTTCACAAGGCCATTTAACAAGCTTTGCTTCTTGACTAGCCTCATGGCAGGTGAGGACAGGATAATCATGGGATGTGGGAAGACAACTCTGATTTATTGGTGGCTTTTGGCTAACAAATTAAATGGGGGTAGGAAAGAGACAGCGTGGAAAGTCTTTGTGGTACTACATGAAAATGACTGTGTTGAGATCAGCTGAAGGCAGTGAAGGAAGTACACTTAATATATCAGTTGAAGTGATCTTCAGTGCTAGTATTAAACTAATTTTTGTACTGCTTGTGTTAATCTGTATCAGTGAAACAGAGTAGGTTAGGAAATGGACACATTTGGTGTGATAAACCAGACCAAATGTAAACTGATGAGAGACCATTAACATGCAAAGCTGCATTTCTTTAACTACGAAAGGGATGCTGTTATGTATGATTTTTATAGATCAAGCCTTGGATGTAAGATCACTTTAAAAAAAAAAAAATTGTAACTAAATTATACTTAACTGTTGCTTCATTTCAGGTGGTATGTGCTTTCAAGGTATGACCATTGAATGAAAGATGAAGAAACAGATGAACATTTTTTGTAAAAAATAAACATACATTCTTTTAAAGCCAGTACCTTTCATGTGCTAGCTTCATAAATGTTGGAAGATGTTAGTTACTGTACTATCACATAGTTTAAAATTATCAGACTCTGTTATTGCCAATACTTTAGTTCTTCCTGAAGAACACCTTTGATTTATAAAGCTACGTCTCTCAGTGGAGGTATATTTGAAATCTGACTCTATAATGGCTGTCCTTGTACTAGCAGTGTTCGTGCTGAAGTACGGCAAGGTAGAATACAGATTCTTAGATCTGTGTAGACAGTGAGAAAAATTGTCATTAGCTTTTAAATCCACATTGAGTTTTGGTTTTTGTGTTTGGGGTTTTTTTTAACTATATTGTTCACATACTTGGTAAGTTGTTAAAAGTAAGAATTAATCTTGATTAAATTGCTGTCACAGTAAACATCTGCAGACTTTTTTTTTTTAACTTTAGGAGCAATTTCTTTCAACTCAATTATTAGTGGAAGTCCTGCTGGGTTACCATTGCAGGTTATTGTAGCTTCTGATATGGCTTAGTGTATCGTATCTTAAATTGCAGTGGCTCAGTTGAAGCCAGAAACCTGTAGTATTATATGCATTGGCAGATATATTTCACTGAAGAATATGCTAATGCTGTTTTTATTGTTGTATATGACTTAAAAATGCTTATTGACATACTAAACAAACTTCTATTGCCTGCAGAACCTAGGTCTTATACATCTGCATCTAGTCTAGATCAATAGTGATTAATATTTAATAATGTAAGGAAATAGGAACAGTATTAACCCTGTTTCACAGACTATGAAAGTCACTACTACAAGGTGGTTTATATATTGGGAATATTAATTGTTAAAAAAAGAATTTTACCAGTATAATGCTGGGTGTAGGCTCATATGGCAAGTGTTACAGGAAGAGTATAGGAAACAGACTTCACATGTTACCTGTTCTCAGCAGCTGGAAGTTTAAAGATTTTGTGTTCTGCATCCAGCCTGTCATGTTTAACAAGTGGTGCAGGTGTAGGGTACAACTCAGGGAAACTTTGAATTGCTAACTGTTGCCTGGATAGCTTGTGTAAGGGACTGTGCTATATTTGCTGTATTATCTTTCTGGCATTCTTTCCTAAACATCTTTCACTGTGAGCAGACAAAATATTGGCACAGAGAAACTTCTGATTTTAATTCACTGTGGCTGCTACAATATACTCTAATGAAAACTAAGCTTACAACTAAAGAATTTTATCAAAGATTGGTCTCTCCAGTTGGTACTGTGCAAGGCAAATGGCATCTGTTTCAAAGACATTGAAGTTTAAGCAGATGAGTCAGAAATTGCAGGGGAGTGGGATATAATGTTCAGATCAAGAGGGTGCGGTCTGGCTTGTTAATATGTTAAAAGCTGTACTTAATTTACTCTTGCAGCATGTCTTAATGTGTAATGTACTCTTTGTCTTGCTGTATGTATATAGGGACTCCTTTGCTTAACGTTCTTTTCTAATCCACCCTCCATCAGAAAGCGGAATGGGTCAGCTTCATCTGTCACTCTTCTACTTCTGACTGAGATAGATAGGGTTTCCACATTATCTGTGGAAGACTACCTCCTATTGAACTTGTTCCTCCACTGAAAAAATCCCTTTGGTCAGAATTTCTGTCTGTTCTACAAATCTTCCATAGTTACAAATTAGCTTCACAACTTATTTGTGGGGGGGATTTTTGTGCCCTTTTCTTTATGTGCCAGTGTAAGAAACAAAACTCTTAATTGATTATTTGATTTATCTAATAGCTGTTTCTTCCTTTTTTTTTTTTTGTAGATACTATGATCAGCTGTGTTCAATTGAACCAAAGTTTCCATTCTCTGAAAATCAGGTAAGAAGACTTAGCAAACCATTTAACTGAATCATGGCACTGATGATGTGTGACTTCTAAGCCTGTACCTAATCCACTAAACGGTACTTTTCTTGGGCAAGGCATTTAATCTCTTTGAGCCTTATTTTCCTAATCTCTGTTTATTTTCTAGTCGGTGCTCATGTATAGTCTATACTGAAGCTTCATCTCTTGTGGCCATAATTGCCTTAATTTTACAGATTCAGAAACATTTTGACTTTGGCTAGTGGTCACTGCTGTCTGGGTCAGAAAGAGTTGTGCTGTGCTGAGTCTTCTTCAGCTCTCCTTTTTCCAAGAAGTCTATTTCATACTATGTTACAAAGGCTTTTTAAAACATAATTTCTGTGGGACCTTTAGTCATGGATGGAATATGATCTTTGGTTTTTGAAGTAGAACAGGTATTCCATTCACAACAGCTAACAGAACAAACCCTCTTAAGAGCTTACCACTTTATTCTTGCCTCTGCATCTACAAATAACACAGTTTTTATATAGACATGGTGTTCATTAAGCATTTTTTTTTTTCTACTGTATTTGTTTAGAATCGTGTCTCTAAGGGAGAAATCCAGCTTAACTCCTGCCTATTGAAGTCTTTCTCAAGGTGGAGACTGGAATAGATCTTTTAGGCTTCTGTATTTTGGTGGGAAAAGATGTAGATTTTCTTTAGACGTGTTTACAAATGGGACAGAATTTCCATTTCTTTCCTGGTCAAATAATATTTAAATGGTAATGTTATGATTAAAAGAAAAAGTTTCTTTCAGGCTTACAGATTATAAGTAAGGGAATAGTTTTAATGCAGTTCAAACTGATTTGAGTTTTGCTTGTAGCTGCGTTCACTTGTAGCCAAGAACTGCACTTTGGTTTTTAGCGTGCAAATGTTTTGATAAGGTGATCTGCAAACCTGGAGACATGGAAAACTGGAAAACTTTAGGAGCAAGTTCTGCAGATCTGTAAACTGTTCCATCAAAGGGAGGTAGTTATCAGTGGAAGCAGCAATGAACAGCTGGTGACCAGAACTTCCTGAACTAGCATTGCTGCTATCAAACAGTACTGTGCTCTTTTTAAAGTTTTTCTCCACAAACGCTTTAAAATGAGGATTTTTGCTATCTTTTCTGGTCTGCTACCAGTTGCCTACAACTAGTTTGGTCAGCTGAATAAGGAATCAAATTGTGGAACTTAAAAACAGATTTTATGAAGTATTTGCATTGCGTATGAAATGTATGCTGGAAGTGCGATAAAAACCACACTGTTTTTACCTGCTTTCTTTTTCCTGAGGGCATTTCCTGATAATGCTGCTATTGAATTAACTTGTAACGAGTGAATTTTGATATTACAAAACAATCCTAAATATGCTAGTAATTTGGAACAGTGGAAACTGCCTGGTTGGGTGGTTTTCTTTAACTGTGACTCTACCTGACTGTTGTACTTCTTGGGAGAGGAATATCTTCGTTTGGAAATAAATTTATCTGCTACTCAGGATATAAGCAGAGCTGAAAGCTTATTTTGAGAATTTCTGTGTTGTCTGGTTGAAATGTTTTGAGCAAACTAACAGGAAGGAAAAAGGTGGAATTATTTTTTTTAAAATAACTTGATGATTTCCTGAAACTTCTGAATGTTTGTAATGTTGCAAGTGAATTAAATGTTTTACGCAATTAGAATATAAAAGGATAAATACGTGAATTTAGGATATTTTCTGAAGATTTCGTATTTAATTTTAGAGATAAAGATCTTTCTTTATTCACAATTTTCAGGTGTGTGTAACATTTACATGGAAAGATGCGTTTGATAAAGGATCACTTTTTGGAGGATCTGCCAAATTGGGTATGTGAATATATCAAAAGTGAAAGTATTAATGATAGTAAATTTTGACAATATTTTTATATAGCTGAATTGTTAATAGTCTTTCTAGTATTCTCAACATAGCTTTCAAATGAGTTCAACTGTATTGGTAACAAATTAATCACTTCAACATTGGTAATGAATATATGGGCACCATGCAAAGAATTTCTATAAAATTGAGGCTTAATACTAGTTTTCCAGAGGCACAAATAGATGTGCAGTCTGATAATAGTTGTGCTGTCTGCTCCTCAGACTTTTTCTGGGAGCAACCCCAACTTACTTTAATCAAAATTGTTAATGTTAAGTTTCAGCAGTAGGTTTTTGGTAATCCAGCTCTTACTGTTCTAAACAAGTAAGATCCTCATGAGATGTGTGTTTGAGTGAGTGAGTCCCCTCCAGAAAGAGGGGAGTGATGGTAGCTGGCTTCAGTAACCTAGTCTGATGTCACATTTTGTTCAAGAGAATAGAAGGATCTGTCTGTGCCCTGAAATATTTCTCTTACCCCTTCTTTTTAAGATATTTTCATACAGATTTGAACACTTGGAAAGAAAGAAAAAATTGTATTTGTTTCCTGCAAACATAAGGTGTTTGAGTCTATGATTTGTTTTAGTCCTATAGGGACAATTCTGCACTGCAAATTCAGGGTCATTAAATGGATTTGGAACACTTGTCAATAGAGGAGCTAAGACTACATGCTTTTGTGTTAAGTTAGGAGCTGTTCAGTCGTGTGTCATCATTCTTTAGTGTTTCTATTTATACTTAAGTGTTCGTCATGACTGGCATTGCAAGATGACCATTGCAATTTTGAAGCTCCAGACAAAGCCTGAAAAAATTTTAGAGTATTTGTTCTCTTTTGAGTTTTTTAAAGTTTTTGTGTCCTTTATATAGTTCTTTGCTAGCAGCTACTGAAAGTCTTTGGAGCTTTCCACGTTCTGAATACATGTGCTACAGTTGTGCTTGTGTGAACTATATGTGTAACAATACCCTGCATTCCTATCCGTAAGCAGGTGATGCACACCTTTCTTTGCTTTATTTTTAACTGTTCTAAGTAGTCCTTCTGGATGATTGGAGACCTTCCTGAACATGCTGTGTTTTTTCTCAGAATTTGGTTGGTTCTGTCATCTTTGGGGCTAGCATTTCATGATGATTTAAACCTGTTTAATAGTAAAGTTCAGGATATTTAATTCTGACTTAAACATAGTCTGTGAATCACCAGAGATTTATAATAAGTGTGAGAAAAAGAATCAGGAATCATAATGTTGATGATTACCCTGAGAATTTGAATAAATGTGATGTTATAGCAGCTTGAGAAAGCTTGCTTGTCTGCAGGTTAATTATATACTAGTCTAAATAATCTGTGAGGCAGATGGCCAGAGATTTATGCAACAGTCCATGTGAAATATCAAAGAAATTCTTAACTGAGATGTGAATAATGCTCAGTTAACAAGCAATGGAATAAATTTTATTTTGAAACTTTAAAGCAGATCTTAGTGGAAAGAAATTAACAAAAGGAGTCTTGTTTCTATCTTTACGGTGCTCTATCACAGATTATCCAGATGCTGCTCTCCAGATGAGCTATGGCGTGTGTATATCTCTATTTCAGATCAGAATTAGCAGTGGGGTTTCTCAGTGTAAAGCTAAGGGAGGAAAACTTTTGTTGACTTACAAGAGGAGGCGATCCTGTCTCCAGATGGAAATTCAATGTAAAACTCCTTTGATGTTCATGACGCCAAGATGCAGGGGTATGGCTCGAGAGTTCTGGCTCTAGCTATAGTGACAAACTGTTT